CTTCGACGCATTGTTTTTGTTATAAATCATTCCTGTTGTTTTCTACCATTGTAAAGTGTAGTAATAAATGTATATATATATATATATATATATATATATATATATATATATATATATATACCCACTCCTTCCTACGACTTCGCACATAGAAGTTGGCAGTATTGACTAAATGAATAAATATCAAAACACTCTAGATAAGCCGCGACTTTACGGGAAGACTAAAACACACGCCTCTGAGCGTTGAAATGAATGCATATAATATTCGTATTGGGCCATTTTTTGAGTGTGCGGTGATCGTATAAGCACGCCATCAGAAATATATAACCAATATATTGAAACACATAAAGAACATTGGATCGCGTTCTTATATATATAGATTATTCACGAGAGGCGTTCATTACAAACTTGTGAGTCAAAACTCACTTCAACCACTTGTTCAACGCAGAATTGTTTCGAGTATTAGCTATACGTACCTCTTTTACCACAGCTATGATCGAATACCCTAAGCGACATACATTCAGATGACATTTAGGCAATCGAACATTCCTATTGAAAGAATGATGATAAAACAATACGCCAGCAACGCTGCCTTAATAACTATTACAAGTATTCTTTATTGTCGGACACCATTTTCTTTGCAATATTTGGCCTGCTAATGTTTTGAACTGCTCCTCTGTTGATAAATTCATTATCGGTATTGATAATTTAGTGTGCAGAAGGTAGAAATAATGTGTTATTGATATTTCATACACAAACCATCTAGCCTGCACAGGTATTGTAATGAAGCTTCACTGTTTGTCCTAAAATTTTATATATATTGTACCGTTTCTATCTGCTCCTACAGTTTACTCTGTTATGGTGGCTGGATAAAAAAAGTGTGACCTGTTGCGTGCAGCCGAAGCGGTGTCTCAGACGTAGTTCTCCTCACGCCCCCTCTGGCACCGAAACTCCTCCCTGTAGAAACGCTGTTGCACGCATGTCTACGCGTGACATTAGGCCTTAAATAACGTGTTTCGTAGGTGCACATTATAAGTTCGATTCTTCATCGTTATTAAAATTGCAAATTATACCCCAGTGTGAAAAGTTAGTTCAAAGTAGGCGAATATTAGGTAGAGTAGGCCTGAATACACTGCGTCATTGATGTTAGTTTCGGCTCGCATAAAATTGAAACATTGACTGATTTCGTTCAAAAAGAGGCAATCACCAAGAGTATTCCAAAAGCGGTGGTATCGAACTTTTGAAACGCACCACCACGAAACCATGAACAATTTCAAATTAGGCCCTTTTAGACCAGCAACGCCGGCTGTGCTCCAAAAACAGTGTACAGCCAAGAGCCTACGACACAAACAAGATGTATCCTTGTTAAATGTTTCACAAAAACTTGCATACCTGGCAGATATCAATTAAACTCACAAAATCACTTAGAAGGTATTTAAAACTACGGCAACAAGCCTAGCGCACTACAAGTGCAATCTCACGCATTACAAGCTGCACAAGAGCACAGAGGCCTTGAATGTTCACCACACGTCAGAAGTCCACAATTATTCGAACATTTCTCGGATATTTCGACCTCAGCAAGGAAATCTTCAAACCAACTACAACACTGGGCGTTGCTCCAGCGACTATCTTCAAAACAATGCTCCTATGATAGTATAACTCGATTCTTCACTATCGACTGACCGCACTACGTGGCCCACTGGAACAACACGACCACTTCAGGTTCTTGGCTGAGCTCAGGACCCGTCACCGTCAACTCTAGTTTGTAGTCATTCTGGTTAAGCGAACATTCTAAGAACTATTACGGCGTGTAGCACGTGCCACGTCGACAGCCAGGGAAAAGGGTTTCGTCTCGCCGGTTCGTCTGCGAGAACGGTAGCCGCTAAAAAGGCTTCGCTTCGGTTTCTAATTTCTCTCAATGTGTGTGAGATGTCGCGTGTGGGCAGGATAAGAGCACGCCCTGGGCGCCTTTCGATGGTTGTTTTAGGGGCAAAACTTCTCGTATGGCGCATTCACACTTGAGAACTGAAGAGAAACGAAAACGTCAGAGCAGCCGGAAAACCGCTGCCACGCGCGTCGAAGATGTTCATATTGTCACAGGTAATGGGTATGAGCTATCAACTGTAGGGGGAATCCCTTGGAAGTGAAGAAAGAAGAGGGCTTTTTACGTCCTGGTCTGAGGTCAAGCAAGACGTCGTTTCATCGCTCTCTGTTATTACGTTCGTGGCACTGGTGGAGGTGCTGGGTAAATGCGCCTCGGCTGCAGATTTTCAGCCGACACCACGAGCTACTTGGAAACAGCTACATCTCCCGAGTACAGTCCCCTCTCTCAAGACGAGATGGCAACTTCAACTAACAACCAGGCGAGTCAAACCAACGACGCCTATTCTTTTCTCCCGCATGTTTTTCATGCGCCGCAAACACCACGCTCATTTCATGGAGACATTTATGAAGATGTTGACGACTGGCTTGACCACTTCAATCGAGTTGCCAACATCAATGAATGGGATGAAGCTCGCAAGCTGCGGAGAGTTTACTTTGCGTTAGAAGACTCTGCCAAAACGTGGTACGAGAATCACGAGGGTTCCTTTGCGACGTGGCATGAGTTCAGCCGACAGTTTCGTGATGCGTACCGCAGCACTGAAAGGAAAGAGAGAGTGGAGCAGGCTATCTCGTCTCGGAACCAACGACCCAACGAGAGAGTTTCGATGTTTGTAGAGGACATGCTTCGACTCTTCAAGCGTGCTGACCCTGCAATGTCCGAGGAAAAGAAGGTGCGGCATTTAATGCGTGGGGTAAAAGAGCAGCTCTTCGCCGGACTCGTGCGCAATCCACCGACGACTGTGGCAGAGTTCATAAATGAGGCTACCACAATGGAGCGTACTCTCCAGTATAGGTCGTCACAGTATGAACGCCACGACCTGACCCCTGCTGCATGCTTTATCGGGGCTGACAGCGAGAGGCATGCCCTCGCTGAGTTCATAAGAAGCGTCGTGCGGGACGAGCTGCGCCAACTCCAAGCAGCGGGACCCCAACCAACCGTAAGTGATCTCGCAGACTTAATCCGAAATGAGATCCGACACGTGGTCACCCCACTCGCGCAAACAAGACCTGAGGCTCCTGTGCTGACTTATGCGGCGGCTCTGCGATCTCCTGCACCACATGGCCCTGATCCCACCATGGGGAGAATGGATCAGGCTAGCCATCGATTCCAGGGCACCTCTTCGACTCCGCCACCCGTTTCAAGGTTTCAGAGTGCACCAACTTATCGTCCGTCTGGATCGCGGCAGAACGCCACAAAGGCCAGCGTGTGGCGTACGTCCGATAACCGTCCTCTCTGCTACCAATGTGGCGAAGTGGGTCACGTCTACCGTAACTGCCAGTACCGCCAACTTGGTCTCCGTGGCTTTCACCCAGATGCTCGTTGCCCGCGTTACGGTGAGCGTCCCCGCGACATCGAAGCGTACCTTACGGGCCAGAAAGCTCCTCGCCTTGGTCCACGCCCCCAATCACAATCTCCATCACCCCGCACCTCCACCAGTGCCACGAACGTAATAACAGAGAGCGACGAAACGACGTCTTGCTTGCCCTCAGACCAGGACGTAAAAAGCCCTCTTCTTTCTTCACTTCCAAGGGATTCCCCCTACAGTTGATGGCTCATACCCATTACCTGTGACAATATTCGTTCTGCCCCATCCCGCTGACGCTGCCTTCGATATATTGACAATTATTAAAGACCACAGTCTTTCTTCGAGACCTTCGACGCAAAAACTTTGGTCTGCCTGCCTGCCTGCCTGCCTGCCTGCCTGCCTGCCTGCCTGCCTGCCTGTCTGTCTGTCTGTCTGTCTGTCTGTCTGTCTGTCTGTCTGTCTGTCTGTCTGTCTGTCTGTCTCTCTGTCTGTCTCTCTGTCTGTCTGTCTCTCTGTCCGTCTGTCCAACATTACCGTAAATTGGGTACTCTAAACAGCACCAGCCGATAACCTAAACGGCTGACCCCATCCACTGCGCCCACCAATGTTGCTCAAGTATTAGCGCTCATACGTGTGTGATTGTCAATCAAAAAGCAATATTGCGCATATCTGAGGCACCATAACAACACGTATATATTCTGCATGTTCATCTTTTACTGAAAAAAGCATACATAAGTCATTCTAAGGACTGTAGCGCTTATCACACGTCGCTGACCATGCAACGCTTGCACGAAAAGGTGAGTGTTTCCAATGATTTGCTAAGACGCGATGGTGGTGTCACCTACCCGCCACGTTGCGTTCCTCAGCTTCTCATTTTTGAGACGGGTGCGTGTGCAGATACGAGGCCAATTTTTTTCTAGTTTGCCTGCTTTCTGAGAACTAAAGTTCGTACCAAATTTTATTTATTCACGCAAAGTAGTGAAAAGAAACATCCCGCACCTGTTTAAACGTTGTTTCGGAAGATAAGCCAGCAAAAACGACACCAGCGAACACTCCCGCAGCGGTGGCGGCGCATTCAGCTGGCTGTACACCAACGCACATTACGTTAGGGCATGCTGACTGGCTTCCGCTGCACCGCCTACTTCCAGAGTTCTTAACGATCGTAAGCCAAGTAAGGCTCTTGATAACGCGTTCTCGTTGAGGTCTTCACGCTTTGTCATTCTGTACGGGTAGTTTGCGGTTTGAGCCGATGCGAGCCACCACCGACGCCTGTGCTGCCACATCAAATCGGCGGCCAGCTGGTTAGGTCACGTGGTTTGATGTAGCGTAGCCAAGGCTGTAAAGCGGAAACCAGTTCTGGTTTCGCGTAGCGGGAAAATTGGTCTCAAAGCAATTCTTGCGCGCCGGCCGCGTGGCGTGGTTTTCCAGCCGCTTGGGCGGCGAAACGAGTCAGTTTCTGGATAGTTTCGCCAGTTTCGCTCTCTTCAACGCCAAGTATGAACGCACTATTAGTCTAACCTTGTTCTGCGACAGGCGTAACCGGCAGGAGAATAAAACGGTAAAAAAGACAGTAGCTTCAGCACATTACAATAGATGGCGCTGTCTCACAAGTACGTACAACAGCAGTTGTGTGAAATAGCGCTGCATGGCTACACTCCGATTGGCTGCTCCGTGGGCTGTGCCAGGGAGAAGTGATGTTTAAATGAGAGAAAAGAAGAGAAAAGTGAGCCCCGCTACTCTCTGAATTTAACTGCGACACCTCAGCAGTGCTCGCGCTGCAGCTCTTATCACTTCAGCAGTGGTTAACGAGGGAAGGGAATAAGAAGGGATTCAAAGGATAGATTGAGAAGTAAACATAAGAAAGAGAAAGATGAGGACACGGTCGAAGGAGTCCAAGGATGCGCTGGAAAAGAATGGCTCTCTTAGCCTCCTAGATCGTCACCGAACGCCGTGGTTCATTGGTGGAGCATGGACGGAGCAGAAAGGCGAGCGTACAGCACCGCGGCTGCTTGAGCTCATCGCCTCGTTCGTGGCGCATAGACGTAGTGGAGCTGAAGCCCGGGATGGCCCGGGCTTGTCGCCAGGCCGACAAAAATACAGACATACACAGAGACAGACCGACAGCCGAACGGACACATGGACCGACGCTTGAATAGATGGACGGACAAACAGACAGACGCATGCACAGAAGGACGAAAGCACGGACGTGTACACGGACGACGAAAACATACACGGACGGACAAACAGACGCTTCCCTCCACTCATCATCATTCACTACGTGGATATTCTGTGATTTTTTTCGTAGTTCGATGTGCACGCCCTTGAAGAGAATGATTGGCTCGGTGACGTCGCGTTGTCGTCTGGAAGCGGCGGTGCGCATCTGATTCAGCGCTACGCTGAATTAAACGCATTCCGGCACCCTTCTCCCCACTGTAGATTGCAGACAAATACGTCGTACTTCACAGCAGCGTATTTGCATTAAAGCTGCTCAGCGGCGCAAAACTGCTTTGCGGCATCATACCACAAACCATAAAAATAGGCACACACGCGCGCGCTAGAGAAAGATACTTGAGCAAAAAAAAAAAAAAAAGATGAGGCAAGCTACTCTTCCCTTGCCCCTATCGCATACAGCAACAGCACAAGAAAGTACATAAAAACTCACGCGAACACGCACAATTACTATAGAAACCCCAAAGTACCACGAAGTGTCTTCCATTTTTATGCTTCGAGTGTCCGCACCCAAACAAAATAAGCAGCCTCAACTGTCAAATCAGCGGAGAGGCACACGCCAGTTCACGGCGACGCGATGAAACAAGACACAGCGTTGCTATTCAGCGGCCGTGGCTCTGTACCTACTTTTTATTTAAATTTATAGAACTGTATTCAAGTTCAAGCCGCTCCTGCTTGGACGCCTGAAGCCCATGTAGCATTGGGAAATAAATAAACAATTACATCAAAGAATATATTCCATGCAGTGAGTTAACGATGAATATGAATGTGCAAATCGCAAATCTCCGGTGTAAGCCTAATCAAGACGCACAACAACGATAAAGCAAAAAATCAAAGACTTTATTGTGACCTCATGCGTCCTAAACGCCAATGCCGACTGATGAAAGAATACCCAAACTGCTCGAAGCCCAAGCTTGGCACAATACATGCGCAATCTTCGGTCGCGAACCTGGTATAAAACGTCATGGCGGGTTATCAGGAGCCTGCAGCAAAAACAGATGCACGCCTTCTCTTTGGAAACCTTTCTAACTGTAGGATCTTACTTTACTAAATGACCACATGAATCACTGTTTCTGCGTGCTGCTGAAATACCAGCAGTACAACTACCGTATATTGATATACATGACCCTAAATCGAAGCTTGACGCTCCCTCCACGCTAAGTAAGCTCATGGTAGCATTGGCTCAGAGCAAACAGAATTCCTCTCGTGGATACGACGGAGTGAATAGGCGAGAACTTCGATATCTTTGTGACAAAACACTGACAGAATTTACTGTAATTGATGAATTACGAAAATCTGGCCTTGTCCCTGACTTGCCAAATGTTTCGTTCATCTACCTGTACCAAAGCCCAGAAAAGGCTGTACAAAGTCAGTGAATATACGACCAATACCTTTGACTTCAGCAGTATTCATCAGATTTATCTCTTAGCCAGTAAGTCTCACTGATACTCTTCATCTCGTCTACCTTCACTCTTGCACTTGTCAAGAAAAAGCGGATGATGTTTTTGCGGGATGAACATTGGCTTTAAACAATTCCGCCGTTAAAAGAACGATAACCTTCGTGCTAGAAATGTTAGCGTGCAAGGAGCATTTTACTTTTCTTCCTTAAAAACTTGCCGTCATGCAATGCACAAAATTTGTCTCCTGGCCATAATACGTTTTTTTCTGTGTTCTTTTCTGCAGGGATGGATATCCGATGGTCCAAAGCGACAAACTCAGGGAAAATGGCGTGATTCTGGAGGACCTCGTATGCTACTACAAAGAAATCTACCGAAACGAGTCTTTGAAGAAACCCGACGAGGAATACCTGTACGGGAGCAGAAAGCGACTCCTGTTTGACGAGCTGCTTCAGAAGGAGTTCCTCTTTGTAGAATGCGCCACAAGACAGTCTCCGGACAGGCCATTTCATGAGCAATTCCTTTTCAATTCATTATTGAAAAAGACTGTCGAGGAACGCTGTAGCACAGCTTTCGGAACGCCACACAACATGAGTGTTCTAGTCCTCGGTCTGGACTCTGTCTCATACCTAAATTTTGACAGGCACTTGCCGAAGACAGCAAAGTTTGTTCGCGAGAAACTCGACGCTTTTGAACTTTACGGATACAATAAGGCGAGGGACAACTCGTACCCGAACCAGGTTCTCTTGATCCTGGGTCTCAAAGATTACGAGGCCACCCAGGCTGTCTCAGGCGGTTTTTACGACAACCTTAGTACCCGTTTATTATGGCACATGTATGGAGAACGGGGATACCGGACTATGTTTCTCGAGGAATCGCCACACTACGGCATATTTGATTACATGTCACCCGGCTTTCAGCGTGCTCCGGCTGATTATTACCTGCGCCCCATCGTAATGGCCATGGATGACTCGCCTAAAATTACCGAAGATTGCAACGTGTCCCCTGTTTGGGACTCACGATGCCGTTCGTAGAACGGCTCGACTACCTCGCCCATTTCACTAACTTGATGGCCAAGAGACCGTTCTTCTCCTATACTTGAACAACCGATATCGCGCACAACTTGCTAAACAGCACAGGCTATGCGGACGAGCCGTTCCGGCGACACTTAGAAACCCTGCACACTTCTGGTACGCTCAACCACACTGTTCTCGTTTTCGTCAGCGACCATGGCATGCGATTCGGAGACAACCGGGCAACCTACATGGGCAAGTTCGAGGACCGCCAGCCGTTCGCCTTTGTCGTCTTCCCACCATGGTTCCTCCAAAAGAACCCAGAAGCGGCGCAAAGTCTCCGCACGAATCAGCACCATCTGACCACTCACTTCGACATTCACGCCACGCTCGTCGAGCTGCTCGACTAGCCAAACGCCCAGCAACCCAACTCCACGTACGGGCTCAGCCTTCTGCACGACATACCCGACACAAGGACGTGTGCTAACGCGTCCATTGCTCGTCACTGGTGTGTTTGTGATGCACGTGCCGACGCCAATGTTACGGGGGACGTGGTCTTGAAGCAAGCGGAGCACTTCGTGGCAAACCTGAACGAATGGGTAAGCGAGGGAGGGAGGAAGTGTGAAGACTACCGTCTGCTCGAAATCATTGACGTAACTCCGCTTCGGGAGACTCCTGCTGAACGTGCGGAGAACACGAGCCATTACTGGGTGACCATCAAGCTTTCGCCTGGCGCAGCAGTGTTTGAGGGCACGGTGCGTGCACAAGGTGATAATATGACAATGCTTGACGACATCAGCCGCTGCAACTGGTTCTCACAGCAGTCCTACTGCGTCAGCAACTGGCTTCAGAAGTACTGTTATTGCCGGCGCACAGCAGGAGAGCTGATTTGATTATGTGGGTCCTTGTTTAGCGAATTTAATTATCGAACATTTAGCACACTTACCCGTGCAGTTGTTAACGCAAAATAGGATGAGTAGGTGTTGTGTGCTAATGCGACAGTGTAAAACAGCTCGTTTCACAGAAACTTCTGCGTCGGCATCGGCGTCGTTGGTTTTCAGCGAAAAACTATCATCTTTTTTGTGTGCGAGAATCTAGAAATATGCAAATTAGGTAAATAATGAAAAGTTCTACGTATGAGTGGGGATTAAACTCGGGTCGTTTGCGCTGCAAGCGGGTGTTTTACCACCAAGCCAGAACTCGGAAGTGGCGCGCAATGTCCGCACGAATCAGCACCGGGTGACTACGCACTTCGACATTCACGCCACTATCCGAACGCCCAACTGGGTCGTTGGGTGTTCACTGTAGTTACTCAGTAATCACTCTACGTATGGGCGCAGCACGGGATGCTCTTGCTTATGTAAAAAGTGAAAATAACTTTCTGTGCTTCTACATGAAGCGAAAGTAACCTTCACGCTTCACAAACAAACGCGTGCTGTATAGATGTCTCACAATGGAACGTGAAAGATTGACGTGGTAATGCGTGGTACAAGCGTACATATTCATCGGGCATCAAAACATGGGATTGTCACCAAGACTTCATGGATTAAAGCCAGTGACTATTGTAAAACGCGCACACACTACTGCACCTTTAAGGTTAAGAAGTAGGTCCATAGCAAGTTCAAAAATATTTCAGGCACTATTCGTTTGATGTGTGCACTTGGAAGAGAATATCGCTTTATCGTTCGTTTCTTGAAAAAGAACGTTAAGGGCTACCAATTTTTTCGCACCCCCCTTTGTTTCTGCGTAGTTCTATTAAATAAAGCACAAGAAATAATGTAACACATCTTCAATGCATATTGTAACACATCTAAGTAGTACGATAGCTATTACGGATGGTAGGACACTTCTACAGGCCATGAATGTAAAATATATAAAACAATAGATACAAGTTACAAGCCGTTACAATGGTTTGACTACATGCAGCACGTGTGTTAGCTACGCTACCTTGTGAAGAACCTAACCATGCTTGAGTGTCATCAGTGTTGGCTCTATAGCCTGCAAATTATAATACATAAATGAAGAGATACATGACGTTTGCAACTATGTTAAGTAATAAATTCAATAAGAACTTACCATCAACAGCAGCTGGTGTCAAAAGCACATCCGTCCGTCAGTTCCGTTCGTCAGTTGCTCGTCAGATTGCAGCCAAGCAGGAACTCGCATCTCGTGTTCAATCGTCGACGGAGTCGTACGTCACGTACATCCAAGACGTACTGGCCCTGTGCCGGAAGACTGACAAAAGCATGTCCGAGGCGGAAAAGATCAGCAACATGTTGAAAGGCATTGCTGATGATGCTTTCAACATACTAATGTGCAAAAACTGTACCACTGTCGACTCCATCATATCTGAATGCCGACAATTTGAACAAGCTAAAAGCAGGCGAATAACCCACCTTATCACGAGACTACCAAACTCTGCTGCGACTTCGTCTTGCGAGGATTCTCCAGCGCCCCGTTCACTTGAACCTCCTGCCAATATCGCAAGGATTGTTCGCCAGGAGCTGAAAGCCATGGCACCCGCTTCCTATCAGCCCCAAGCGCAAGGCAACTGGGCAACAGTCTCGCTTATTCAAGCCGTCGTAGGTCAGGAGTTTGCTAACCTGGGCGTCCAGGTTCCCGAGCCCGCCAGAGTTATGCAGCGGCCCATGAGCACTTCCGTCCACAAGGCTGACCACCACTCTGCTCCACTTGTCGCTGCGGCAGTTTCGACTCCTCGGTTTCCACCACGCTACCGAAATCCATCTGAGTGGCGCATGCACGATGATCGACCCATCTGCTTTTCTTTCTCTCGAGTTGGGCACATCTACCGCCATTGCCACAACAGGTGGTATTTCCGGCCAAGCATTCCTAATGTCGACCGCCTTCCGGACCATGGACACTATTGGCAACCCGGTTTTCCGGATGACCATATTCAGGACCCTTCAGCTCACCGTTCATCTCCACGCTCCGAACCGTCCTACGCTGACGTCGTCGCCCAAAGAAACTGGTCTAGCCACTCGCCGTCACCTCAGGGTCGGCCTTTACGCTCCCCTCAACGCGACCGCTCTCCGTCACCGGCTTATTCTGGCCATTCCCCGGGAAACTGACGAGTGCAGCTCCTGGAGGTGGCGCTGCGTTGATGACTTGGAACGAAAACCCTCAAACGGCTACAAATTCAAGACGCAATTTACTTCGGGTGTTTGTTGGTGGCCACGCCGTTACTGCTCTAATTAACACTGGTGCCCAAGTATCTGTTATGAGTTCTACACTTTGATCTCGCCTGAAAAAGGTTCTCACACCGGCTTTGTTCTCTACTGTTCGAGTTGCCAACGGAAGTCGAACATCGGTGCTTGGTATGTGCACTGCACGCGTAACTGTGGCTGGCGTTCTCTTCGCAGTTCTCGATGCTTGCCCAGACGACGTCGTCCTTGGAATTAACTTCTTAACCGCCCACTCTGCCCTCATTGATTGTTCTACCGGTATCTTACGGCTCGAATCGCTTTTGTGCTCGGATTTCACTCCTCCAAGTCGCACTCGGCTACGATCCCTGGAGTCTCTAAGGCTACCGCCCCAGGCTGGTATATACATTCCTCTGTCGCCCTTTCCGTCAGTTCCTGATGGAGACTATCTGGCGCCTCCCCTCATTGATTTGACCCTTACGAACCACATCGTACTACCACATACTATAGTGGTTGTTGCTAACAATACGGTGCTACTTCAACTTCTGAACTTCTCTACGTCGACCCAAGTTCTCCCCAAGGCATCACTTTAGCCGATCTTTTCACCCTTGTTGAATGTTACATTTCTTCTTTTACCCCTGACACTAAGACCATGGCGAAACTTGTCATCATGTCGCAGTATAAGGCGTTGCTCGACAAAATGATATCCAGCGACCTCTTACCTTTCAAGTTGTAGTGCTCCGTGGTGTTCACTTTTCTTACCTGGATATCTTTGACTCGGATGACCATCCCCTGAGCTGCAAAAGTGTCGTAACCCCCCGCATCGACACCGGCGACGCCAGTCCACTCCACAAACGCCCTTATCGCGTGTCACATGCTTAGTGCCAAGTTATACAAACGAAGGTCTAAAAAATGCTGAGTAAAGACGTCATTGAGCCTTCATCGAGTCCTTGGGCATCCCCCGTGGTCTTAGTAAAAAAGAAGGACAACACCTGGCGCTTTTGCGTCGACTATCGCCACCTGAATTGGATCACCAAGAAGGACGTTTATCCTTTACCCCGAATCGGTGATGCGCTCGACTGCCTCCACGGCGCCAACTATTTCTCGTCCCTTGCCCTTCTACCCGGATACTGGCGAATTTCGGTCGATGACCGCGACCGCGAGACGACAGCATTCATCACAGCCGACGGCCTTTACCAATTCTAGGTCTTGCCTTTTTGGTTGTGCGATGCCCCGGCTACTGTTGAACATATGATGGACTCTCTTCTTCGCGGTAACAAATGGTCGACCTGCCTTTGTTATCTGGATGATGTAATCGTTTTATCGCCCTCCTTCGAAAGCCACCTGTCCCGTCTCTCGGCAATTGTTGACGTTTTTCGTTGCGCTGGTCTCCGACTGAATTCGTGGTGCTATACTCGCTCCAACTGAATGGCATTGGTGCTATACTCGCTCAGATACAGAATGGCACCAACCACTTGATAGCCTACGCTAGCCGCCTTTTGTCGCAAGCGGAACATAATTATTTCATCACTGAGCGGGAATGCTTAGCCTTCGTTTGGGCTATTGCGAAATTCCGCCAGTACTTTTATACGGACGTCCGTTCGCAGTCATCACGAACCATAATGCGCTTTGCTGGCTGTCGACGCTTAAGGACCCTACATGAAGACTCGGCCGATGGGCACTTCCATTACAGGAGTACACGTTCTCGGTTGTTTACAAATCTGGAAAGCTGCACAGTGGTGCCGACTGCTTATCGCGGCACCCCGTTGATCCACCTAGCTCCACTGATTTGGAATCCGATGCCTGCGTTTTAGCCATCACTGACTTTCTGAACGTGGCCGACGAACAGCGCCGAGATCCATCGTTGCTCACCATCATTGACCGCCTTCAATCGCGTTATACTGACCCTTCTCTTAGCAGATACCTGCTTCAAGACAACGTTTTGTACCGCCACAACGTACACCCCGACGGTGCGGAACTTTTACTCGTCGTACCGCATCACCTGTGGAAGGATGTTCTGCGACAATTCCACGACGCTACAACTTCTAGACATCTAGGAGTCTCCAGAACTTACGACCGCATTCGATGACGAGTATTTTAGAAGGGTCTCTACCGCTCTGTTCGCCGTTACGTCGCATCTTGCGACTTCTGCCAGCGCGAAAAGAAGCCTACGACTCCCTCTGCTGGTTTTCTTCAACCTATTGAAGTTCCAGCCGAGCCGTTTTATCGAGCGGGGTTGGACTTGCTGGGTGCCTTTCCTGCTTCTACAACTGGAAATAAATGGATTGCAGTGGCCACAGAATATGCCACTCGGTATGCAATCACTCGAGCGCTACCAACCAGTTGCGCAACCGACGTTGCCGACTTCCTGCTGTACGACATTATTCTTCAGCATGGCTCTCCGTCTCACCTGCTCACAGACCGTGGTCGCTACGTTCTATCTCGTGTGGTTTATGATCTATTCCGATCTTGTTCTACCCGTCACAAGTTCACCACATCTTACCACCCTCAGACTTACGGCCTTACGAAGAGCGCAAACCGCACCTTGACAGACATGCTTTCCATATACGTATCTACCGACCACACTGATTGAGACATATCTATTCTGTTCCTAACCTTCGCCTATAACTCGTCGCGTCATGAAACAGTGGGCTACTCCCCTTTTTATCTACTCTTCGGACGTCATCTCTTACTGCTCTCGACACACTGCTTTCCGCAGACCACCCAGCATC